ATGGTTAATTTACAGGTGCATGTTCTTTATGAAGTACGGGAACGAGGTGGTACGGTGGTGAGAAATGTGCCAGTTGATGAACACATGACTGAACTGACGCTGTCATTATCTGGTGATAAGGATGACGAGGAAGTTTTGGATATAACGCTCAAAGACCCATCAGGTTCTATAAGATTAATTACTTCATCTAATACAATTTCAAGGAACAAGGAAAGATAGCTCGGTTTTTTTGAGGCTAAATTTTGCTGTCATCTTCTATACGAGAATCGAAACACGTGTTGAATTCTGCTCTTTTTTGACAAAAAAAGAGAAAAGCGTTGTAAGAGCAATAAAAAGTTGTCGACTGACAGCTTAAGTGTGAATTTTTCAGTTTGTTAGCAAAAACACAAGTGTGGTTATTGCAAAAAAATCGGCGCATTTCTCTGCTTCTATTGATTGATTAGAACAACAAATTATTTATCCGAATGTTATCTTTAAAGAGCTCAAAAAGACAAATAACTACATTCATTCATAAAATAGAAAAAAAAGCAGTGCAGCCTGTATAGCGGCAGAAGTATGTAAGTTGTTTTAGGTCGACCCGTGGACAAAAATGTCTATAGCAAAGAGGGAGGGACCATAGATCTCAAAAATGTTAAGCTAATTCGCCTCAAAGATCCACAGGCTGGAGTTTGGCAGGTCGTTCCTTTTTTCCTAAAACCAAGTTGTGAACTGAACTCCATTTCGGACATCTTTTTTCACTGCGATTACTTTAGGTGATCACAAACTCTCGTCTTAAACATACTATTCGAATATTCGGGCATGGCACGATTGATTTCAAATATGGCTTCGCTACGAGACCATTAGAGCGGATTGAACTGGTCAGTATCGCAGCTAAAGTAGCATAAAGTGGTTTTCAAAGGTGAGATGGTTCAGGCGCGTCCTCGACCGGTATCTAACCAAAACACATATCTCCTAGTCAATATGACGGGCTTGGTTCCACCAGGAACAACTACTGAGATCTCCTTGCTGGACTATTACGGTAAAATAAACTAAAAATAAGCCAAAATTTGTTATCTATTATGTGCTTATAGGTAACACTCTGTACACAAATGTTGC